TGTAAATCTAGTAAGGACTAAATGAGATGATTCGAATCAGGGGTTGGATGCAGGGTTTGGCATGGTCTGGGCCTAACGAGCCAGCTGTTTCTAGGGCTCTCACTCCAGGACAAGCCGACCTCCTCCTCACTGTTTCTCATACCAGGCAAGTTCCTGCCTCAGGACCCTTGTACTTGCTGTTTTCGTGCCTAGGACATTCTACCCCCAGGTCTCCACTTCGCCAAATTCCTTACCCCCTTTTGGTCTTTAACAGTACTTGCTCCAGGAAACCCCTCTCTGTTTAAAATTGCAGCCCTCCCTCAACTCCTAATGCCCACCCTACCTGGTTACCCTCTCTGACTACCTCCTCTTACCCCCACTGACTTTTTCCCCCCCAAGACAGGGTTGGAGTGCAAGGGTGTGATCTTGGCTCACTGCAGCCCTGAATTCCTGGGCTCAAGTGATCCTCCCTCCTCCGCCTCCCAAGTAGCTGGGACTACAGGCGCACACCCCCATGCTCAGCTAATTTGTAAGGTTTTTTAGAGACGAGGTCTTGCGATGTTGCCCAGGCTGGTCTTGAACTCCAGGCCCCAAGCAATCCTCCCACTTTGGTCTCCCAAAATGCTGGGATTGCAGGTGTGAGTCACTGCACCTGGCCAAAGTGCTGGGTTTCCTGTTTTTGTTTTTTTAAGAGTAGGAGTTTCACTCTGTTGCCCAGGCTGGAGTACATAAGTGGCATGCTCACAACCACCACAGCCTCGATCTGCTGGGCTTAGGTGATCCTTCTGCCTCAGCCTGCCAAGTAGCTGAAACCACAGGTGCACACCACTGCACCCAGCTAATTAAAAAATTTTTTTTTTGATTTGGAGTCTTACTCTTGTCACCCAGACAGGATTGCAGTGGCACGCTCATGGCCACCACAGCCTTGGCCACCACAGCATTGACCTGCTGGGCTTAGCCTTCCAAATAGCTGGAACTACAGATGCACACGACCACGCCTGGCTAGTTTTGGGGATTTATTGTAGAGATGAGGTCTCAGCAAGTTGCCCAGACTCAATCCTCTCTCCTCAGCCTCCCAAGGTGCTGGGATTACAGGCTGAACCACAGCACCTAGCCTAATTTTTTGATTTGTTGTAGAGATGAGGTCTTGCCAAATTGCCCAGGCTGGTCTTAAACCCATGGGCTCAGGCAATCCTCTTGCCTCTCTCTGCCTCTCAAAGTGCCGGGATGACAGGTGTGAGCTGCCGCGCCTGGCTAGGGCTGGATTTTTTTTCTTTTTTTGCGTTGGAGTCTCACTCTGTTGCCCAGACTGGAGTGTAGTGGCCACTTCCAGCCACCGCAGCCTCCACCTGCTGGGCTCCAGCAATCCTTCCGCTTCAGCCCTCCAAGTAGCTGGAATTACAAGTGCGTGCTACCATGCCCGGCTAATTTTTTGGTTTATTGTAGAGATGAAGTCTCACCAAGTTGCCCAGGCGGGTCTCAAACCTGCGGGCTCAGGCAATCCACTCACCTCAGCCTCCCAAAGGCGCAGGATTACAGGCTTAGGGCTGGATTTTTAATCCTGTTGTTCATTGCTGTGTCCTCAGTGCCTAGAATAATGCCTGGCACACAGTAGCTGCTCAATAAATTAAAAAAAAAAAGCTGAAGCAAACATGACAAAATGTTAACGTGTGGGTGGTAGATGCTTATGTGGCTTCTGCTAAGTATTTTTCAGCATGTTTAAAATAGTTTATTAAGAAAATACAACACAAATAATAATAATCCACACTTTCGAGGAGTCCGCAGGTAGTGGCTGATGAAATGTGGGAGGGCAGGTAGTTGACAAGGGGTGTCCCTGAGCCAGGCTGGCAGGCACTGATGGTACCCTCACAGGTAGGAGACCCATTCATGCTGTCTCAAAGGTACAAGGACAATCCCATTTTATTTTTGAGTCAGAGTCTCATTGTCGCTCAGGATGGAGTGCAGTGGCACACTCACAGTCGCTGCAGTCTCGACCTGATGGGCTCAGGGGATCCTTCCACCTCAGCCACCATGCCCAGCTCATTTTTTTATTTATTGTAGAGACGAGGTCTTGCAAAGTTGCCCAAGCTGGTCTCGAACCCCTGGGCTCAGGCAATCCTCTCACCTCAGCCTCCCAAAGTGCTGGGATTACAGGTGTGAGCCACCGGCCTGACAATCCCATTTTATAGAAAGTAAATGGAACCTAAGGGCAGAGGAGCGAACTGGCCATTTCCCTGCAGAGGGAAGAAGGGGTGACCCCGGGCAGTGACAAGTGGGGAGCCTCTTGGCAGAGAAGGGGCAGCAAGGAAGTGGGAGAAGACCAGAGAGGCTGGCTGAAGGAGGTAAGCCTTTCAGTAGCTGGCCTAGATCCCAGCTGAGGCCGTAACCCTCTTGAGCTGTCCAAACCACACACTCAGCTTCTTCCTGCGACTCCTGGGGGCAGATCTGGCAAGCTGGACGATTCCTGGAGTGGTCTAGGCTGGGGGCAGGGGCGGGTGGGGCCCAGGGTGGACGGATGGAGATGGAGAGGGAGGAAGGGGGTTGAGAGGCTGACTCAAACTTTAGGACAGGAGTCAGAAGGCCAGCCCAAGCCAGGGGAAGGAGGGAATGCCTCATCCCAGGTGACATGCAAAATGAAACTGAGGATCAGGACCTGTGCTTAGGCCCAGACAGGCGGAAGCAGTGGATCTGGGGTCCCCTCAAGCCACAGAGGGCGAAGAGTGTTGCGCGCCTCCATTAGAGAAAGGCCAGACAGGAAGAGGAGTGTTGGGGCAGATTGTCTGTCCTCGTCTTATGCAGGGAAGAAGCTGAGGCTCAGAGAAATGACCTGCCCGAGGTCACAGGTGAATATATACCTGGATCCCTGGGCCTATAGCACTGTGCTCCTTCTCTGGAGGCAGGACACTTAGCCCGGACACTCCAGGAACCTCCGGGAGGCTTTTCTTGGTTCATGCTGGGCTACAGGACCTTGGGTGCATCTGCCCCCTTCAGGGACTGTCAGGCTCGAGGCTCCACAGGTTGGGCATGTGGACAATGCCACAAGCCTATGGGAAGGTGGGGCTGCTCTGCCGCCTGCCCCAAGTGTGAATCCTGCTTCTGCCACATCATCTCTCTGGGCCTCAGTTTCCTCATCTGGAAAATGAGGGCTAATATCAATGGCTGACATTTATTAACACCAAGCACCTATATCTCTGCCAGGCCACCAGAGTCATTCCTTTAACCCTATGTCCATTTTACAGAGGGAGAAACTGAGGCCAGGGAGGTATAGTAATTTGCCCAAAGTCACACAACTAGCAAACAGCAGTCAGGATGTGAACCCAGATGCCAAATGAGGTCTTAGTGGTTGTGGTGAGAATTAAATGAGACAATGAGTTAAGGGCCTCACTCTTGGTGAGACCGGGAGTGGGTAAGAACTAGGTCCCTGTCTCCCAGCCAAGTAGAAGCACTGAGACCACACAATATACTCTGGGCTGTGCTGAGGGAAGCCCCGAGTCTGGAGAAGCCCAGAGCCAACCCTGAGGAGCCTGTGCAGGGGCCAGAGAAGGCAGCTTCGAGCAGAGGTGCCCAGGGCGGAGGTACTGGAACGTGCAGTGGCACACAAGGGTTCTCCAAGGAGTCGGGGCTGACAGAGGCAGAGTGTGGGGCCCAGGCTGGGAGCTCTGTGCACAGCTCTGTCGGTGGCCTGGGGGCACTTAACGGTGTCTGGGCCTCTGTTTGACCCTCAGGTCCCAGTGCTGCTGCTCTACACCCACTGGCCCTGAAGGCCCTAGCCAAGCAGGGCAGACACAGCGTGGAACCTATGTTCTTGCCTCTGGGTAACCTCTGGCAGATGGAGCCTCTCGGGACCTCAGTTCCCCATCCAAACCAAGGGGCAGCCGCTATCCCGCGCCCAACTCTGAAGCACCATTGCTTAGGCTCTGCTGCCACACTATGGACACAGAGGGAACTGCAGCAGTGAGCACAGCCCTGACACCGCCCCAGTTTAGGCTTCAACTCTTAGTCTTTCATCAAGAAAGATCACTTAGTCTGTCTTATTGACTCTGTCCTCAGCACAGCAGCACAAGTAATCTGCTCAAAACCCTCTGTGGGAACCCAGTGCTATGCTGCAGCTCCTTGCAAAAGCCAATTAGGAAACCTTTAAGAATTTTTGTTAGTTAAGTTTTGTGGGGTTTTTTTGAGTCCGAGTCTCACTGTCGCCCAGGCTGGAGTGCTGTGGCATGCTCATGGCCACTGTAGCCTTGACCTGCTGGGCTCAATTGATCCTGCCGCCTCAGCCTTCTAAGTAGCTGGAACTATAGGCATGTCCCATCACGCCCAGCTAATTTTTCTTGATTTATTGTAGCGATGAGATCTCGCCAAGTTGCCCAGGCTAGTGTCAAACTCATGGGCCTAGGGAATCCTCTTGCCTCTGCCTCCCAAAGTGCTGAGATTATAGACGTGAGCCACCATGCCTGGCCTAACAGTTATTAAAAATCTAGATGAGCACTGGAACAGAGTGAGGGAGACTAAACAGAAGCCCTTGGCCAGGACTGAGATCTGGAGTAACTAAAGCCTTCTGGGTCGCAGCCTCACCCACCCAAAAACATCTGCTTCATGTCTATACTCACATGCCATAGTCTACTGTGAGCATCTTAAAGGCAGGGACCAGCAAGTTTTGCTCACTACTGGGGTGCCAGTGGTGGCTTATCCAGCATACACTGGGAACTCAAAAATTTGTTTAGAGAGCAAACCACCTGTGTATCTTCCACAAAAGCCAGGTTCTCCCCTATCTTTGTGCATGCTATTTCCCCATTCACTGGCACCAGTCTTTCTGTGATCACACTGGGAAGAGGGGCTTCCAGAACTCAGGAGAGTGTGGTCCTGGGCACAAAGGAGGCCTGGTATCACTGATCGGTCATCTTATCTGGGGCCCTGGTGGGCATTGAGCTCTGCCTCCCAGCCCCTGTTCAGAGCTTAAGAGAGCAAAGAAATCGAGGAAGCACACAAGGTAAGCCCTCTCTTACGACAGCATCAGACAACTGTTTCAAAATATATTAGATTTGGTTTTTATTGTAGAGCACACATATCAGGGCAAAGTGCTGCACACACAACTACAAATCATTTTTGGGAAAAAAGCTGTAAAAAAAATAAAACTGCAACTGCTTTCATTATGCAGTTCTGAATTGAGGAATCCACGCTGGCAAAGGAGTTCTGGCCCCTGAGAGGGGCTTCTTGATGGTGGCTGCCCCAGATTGCTGCAGCCTCTAAGGCTTCAGGCCCAGGCCTCTGTACACAAAGCCCCCTGGAGTGGTGGTAGCCCGGTTGCTGGGAGGGCCTCCGCTCTCGGCAAGTCCGGGACCTAGCCTGGCTGGCAAGAAGACATTCCTAATAAATCTAGATCAGCAAGACCATGCAGCCTTCCAGAATCTGAGTGTGTAGAAACTGCCAAAGACTTTACTTTTTTTTCCTTTTATTATTTTTTAAAAGCGCCTATCCCAGCTCCCATGCCCCTGAGGCGGAGGAGGCACTGACCCAGTCTGCAGGCCTGCACTCTGGCCTTGGATGCATGCTGCAGGCGGACAGAAGGGACAGGCACCTTCCTAGAGGGATGACATGGGGAGGAGGTCCAAGCTGGCCAATGAAGAGGAAGGAAAGGGAAAGGAAAAAGCCAGGAGACCAAAGGAAAAAATAAAAACTCAAAACAAAAGAAAACAGAAACACTACCACACACCACAACAATTTTCCATACTCCAAATTCTAGACTTGGAAGGATACCAGTCTCCCTAGCTAGAAACAATTCCTAAAACTGACCCAACATCGCAAGTCTAACTGTCCCATACAATCACACGCATATGCTTGAAAGGAGCAACCCAAAAAAATGGTGTGCTCTTGGCAAGAGAGGTCAGACTGTGCTAGCCCCTCAGCAGCCTAAAGAACTGTGGCAGAGGCCGCCAGTGGGCATGGAGGAAGCCCAGGAGGCTCAGCAATAGCTTTGGGGTGGCAGGGCTGGCACTGTTTTAAGGCCCACCTAGCCAACCTGAACAACTCTGCTGCAGGAGGAAGAAAGAGTGTTTGCATGAGCTTCCAGGGCATGGTGCACAGGCGAGAAGTGGAGGACAGCAGGCCCCAGGTGGAGCCCACAAGGCTCCAAGAGACCCCAACCAAGCGCAGACATCAGTGGAGGAAAGGGGTGGGCAAGAGACTGAACTCTGTTTAGAACACTGCTAAGATTTACACTGAAAGCAAAAGAATTTTCTTAACCAAAACACTGTGTTGTTTAAATAAATCCAGCCTGATACAGCCCCACCTGAAGATAGCTGCCCCCCACATCTCTACTGGCCACTCCAGTGTGAGCCTCTGTCCTTCTACAGATGCCAACAGCCTTTCCGTCCAGGAGGAAAACCAAGAACATGAGAACCCAAGTCCTGGCCAATTCTGTTCTTCAGCCTTAACAGGCAACAAACCAAGGAAAAATATATAGGATCAAAAAAACAAAAACAAAACCTTCAAAACAAAACAAAAGGAGGGGCAGCTACGTGAGGATTAGCCAGAGTTCCCAGGAGGGTGGCGGGCAGGCCTCAGTGCCTCCGCATCTTCACCTTTCGGGCAGGGCTGCCTGCCGCCTCTGAGCAGTCCTCGGCAGACTCATAGGACTTGCGCCAGTAATTCTCAGAGCTGAAGCTACCCCTCCGCCGGTGTGTGGGCATTAGCACTGAGCGCCGGTTCTCCTCCTTGTCCATCTCCAGGATCCGTGGCCTGCAAGGAGAGGGAGGGAGGCGTCATCTGAGAGGCTGGAAGTAACAGACTGGCCCTGCCACTCCACCTGGTCTCAGATTCCTCAACCTGGAGACGGGGCACTCCAGCTCAGTGGTCCTCGTCAAAGGGTGACACTGGCATAAGCACTGTGAGGCTCACATCTATTACTAAATGCCAGTGGCCACTGCAGTCTTGGGGACATGTTCTAATTATCCTTGGGGTCTGCCTGGCTGAGTCTGGTCCCCAGGACACTGCCAGGGCTGCTGGACAGAAGGTCTTCCCTGCTGCAACCTCAAGACCCTGCCTGATCCTGCCATCTCTCTCCATTTCCCAACTCTCCCCACTTTTTCACCACACCCCCCAAAACAGCCTCTCTCCACTCAACAACCCCACTAGCCCCTGAAACCACCAAGTGCTCTTCTGTCTCAGGGGCTCGGGCTCAGCCCATTCAGTACATCCTACCCAGACTGCCCTTCTGCACATCTTTCTTACACGTCTGGTCTTAGCTCAAACATTACCTCTCAGAAACCTTCCCCAACCCTTCTGAAATAAGTCCTATCTTCCAAGTCCCAAGATTCCCTCCTAACATCTAAGTATAAACCCATGAGAGCATTTGCTTCGGTGGGACTGAACAAGAGAAATCATCATGGGAAGGCCACAATACATTCTCATTTGTCAGAGTCTCTGTCCAACCTCTTCTCTCTGGGGGAATAAGCAGCTGGCCAAGGTTTAGGTGGGAATATCACCAACACCACCAACCCAGAAGAACCAGACATAAGGCTCTGCAAGGGTGGGCAATCCCAGACTCGTAACCAGCCAACCCCCTGGCTTCCCTACCCATCCCACCCTGTAGTCAGGGCATGGGGCTGCTTTGCTGGCCTTTGTTGAGGGTCCTAAGCTAAGTACCTGTGGGCAGCATCAGGGTCTGCCTTGCGGTGGGACCGCTTGGGTTTCAGAGCAGGGTCCCTGTTGTTTCCTGACAGGCGATCTGAAGCATAGCTGGGTGGTAACACAGAGCTGCTCAGAGACTTTGTTTCCAACCGGGGTGCATCTAATCTTGTCCTGCAAAGGAAACATGCATGGGTCACCAATGGGCCTCTGTGAGGGTATGTGCCCCATCAGACCAATTCTCTGGCCAAGCCAAGAGGAGACCAGGTGGACTTGGGAGCCAGGAGTCTCTGGTCTGTACCTGTTTCCTCGTGGTTCAACTAGAGATTGGTCTAGATGACTTCCAAAGATCCTCCCTCTCAAGTTCAGATTTAGGAGTATGGAATAGGAATACTTCTGTTTGGAGATATCCAATGATCGGAATCTGTTGCCCTAGGGAAAAGATTCCAGGGCTTGCTCTCAGCTGAATGAGGTAGCCTCAGCTCATTTCACTTGGGCCCAAAGGTTCTCTGGAGTCATCAACCCCACTTGCCAGAGGACTGAAGGCCCCACTGGAAAGCACTGACACAGGAAGGATTCCTGGTCCAGACCTGCAGAGATGCTAGAGAGAAAAAGAACTACAGCAGAGGCCAGAGTCCCCACCCAGCACTGGATACAAGTTTCTTTTTTTTTGAGTTGGAATCTCACTCTGTCACTCAGACTGGAGTGCAGTGGCCACTCCCAGCCACCGCAGTCTGCCTGCTGGGCTCCGGCGATCCTTCCGCCTCAGCCTTCCAAGTAGCTGGAACTACAGATGCACGCTACCATGCCCGGCTGATTTTTTTGATTTGTTGTAGAGATGAGGTCTCGCCAAGTTGCCCAGGCAGGTCTCGAACTCACGGGCTCAGGCAATCTACTCACCTTGTCCTCCCAAAGCACTGGGATTACAGGCTGAGCCACCGAACCCAGCGGATACAAGTTTCAAGGGACTTGCCCTTAGTAAAGGGAAAACACTCAAGTACAGACAAGGAAGAAAGGGATAGAGGAGCTGGGCAGTGAGATAGTTCAGGGCAGTGATCCAATCTTTTGTAAGGTCAGACCAGAAGGAAGCTGGCCTGGGAAACCTCAAAGAAGCCCTAAGGCTTCCTGTGTGGTACAGAGAAGGCTGACAAGTCAGGCAGGTGGAAGCAAGGAGCAGGAGAGGAGCCTATGTAACAGAATAAGAGGGAGTGATAGGGCACAGATAGCAGAAGGTCCTGAAGGCACCCTTCCAGGGTCTGTGGGACACAAAGTAGTAACTTGGTTCTGAGGAAGTAGGGGGTGTGGTCAGGCAGGGCTCAAAGGACACCCCCTCATAAGGACGCTGAGGGGAAGGAGAGTAGGAGGGAAACCAAAAACTGGCTCGGGCCAGGCAGTCTGGCATTCTAGGTAACGCCACCCAGTCCTCACAGCTTCCCTCAGAGTCCAGTCTAGTTACTATCCTTCTTTGGACCTCGGTTTCCCCAGATAAATAAAGGACAGAGAAATGTGACTGGCTCTAAGGTTTCTTTCAGTTCGGAGGGTTTAAGGAATCAAAGGCAGGCCAAGTGCAGTTGCTCACGCCTGCAATCCCAGCACTTTGGGAGGCCAAGGCGAAAGGACTTGCTGAGTCCAGGGGTTCAAGACCAGCCTCGACAACTTTCGAGACCAGCCTGGACAACTTGATAAAACCTTATCTCTACAATAAATCAAAAAATTAGCTGGGCATGGGGGTGCACGCCTGTAGTTCCAGTTACTTGGAAGGCTGAGGTGGAAGAATCACCTGAACCCTGCAGGTCGAGGCTGCAGTGGCCATAAGTGTGCCACTGCACTCCAGCCTGTGCGACATAGTGAGACTCTGACTCCCTCCCAAAAGGAATCAAAGGCAAGTTGCCTCCTTCAAGCAAACATTCTCTAGAAAAGAGCTGGTACTGGGCAACACCCAGAGATGAGAAAGTGAAAGAGAAGAGAAACACCTGAATCCTGATGACCTTTTCTTTACCAGGCCTTATATCAGTGTGTTGAGAAGTCCAGATAGCAGAAACCAGACTAAACAAAACATTAGCCATTACACATGACTTGAAGAGCTCCAAGGTGCTCGCTCAGATAAGTCCCTTCTTTGGCACCCATAAAGCTTCAGAGTATGCCCACAAAACCCCAACGGCACACTCTGAAGTTGTTTCTTCAGGTGAACAATGGGTGGCAAGAGAAAAGCAGAACCACCAAGAAGAGAGCCTGTGCCTCAGACCTGACTCATGCATCTCGGCACATTCTGCCACACTGAACCTTCGTGTTGGCCCAGCATTTTTTTTCTGAGGTGGAATCTCACTCTGTTGCCCAGGCTGGAGTGCAGTGGCACACTCATGGCTACCCTAGCATCGACCTGCTGGGGTCCAGCGAACCTTCCGCCTCAGCCTTCCAAGTAGACAGAGCTATAGGCATGCGCTACCACACCCAGCTAATTTGTAATTTATTGTAGAGACGAGGTCTTGTCAAGTTGCCTGGGCTGGTCTCGAATCTGTGGGTTCAGGCAATCCACTTGTCTTGGCCTCCCAAAGTACTGGGACTACAGGCTGAGCTATCAAGCCTGGGTGGGCCCAGTATTCTTGAGCTGCTTACTAATTGGAGCAGCCTGCCTGCACAGCAGAGGCAGTGGTGGTACACCCTCACCATGGATGTGAGACTGCTGAAGAGGGTGGGGAGACAGGTGGGACCACCTGAGCCTGGACAGGCCAGAGGCACTAGCTTCTCTGCTTTTCTCTCTGCTTTTCTCACCTGACAGCCCTGCTGACCTTAGGAGGCAGCCCTTAGAAGGGACGATCAGAGGTGACCTTACCAGAAAACCAGTCTTTTGCACCCACTGTAGAGACAGTGTGAGCTCTAGGGTCCAGAGGGCTCCTGACACATGCCTTGGGTCTGTTAAAAGTACATCTTGGGTGTGGTGGCTCAGCCTGTAATCCCAGCACTTTAAGAGGCTGGGGAGAGAGGATTGCCTGAGGCCAGGAGTTCAAGACCAACCTGGACAACTTGGTGAGACCTCATCCCTGCAGTAAATCACAAAACTAGCCAGGCATGGTGGCGTGCACCTGTAGTTCCAGCTACTTGGAAGGGTCATGTGGAAGGATCGCCTAAGCCCAGCAGGTTGAGGCTGCAGTGGCCATGAGCGTGCGCCATTGTACTCCAGCCTGGGTGACAAAGAGTGAGACTCCAACTCAAAAAAACCAAAAAAACAAAAAACATCTCATAGCCAGGTGCAGTGGCTCATGCACGCCTGTAATTCAAGCATTTTGGGAGGCCGAGGTGAGAGGACTGCCTAAGCCATAGGTTTAAGACCAGACTCGGCAACTTGGGGAGACTTCATCTCTATAATAAATCAAAAAAATTAGCCAGGTATGGTGGCATTCACCTGTGGTTCCAACTACAGGGAAGGCTGAGGTGGAAAGATCACCTGAGCCCAGCAGGTCAAGGCTGCAGTGGCCATGAACACTCCAACCTGGGCAACAGAGTGAGACTCTGACTAAAAAAAAAGTACATCTCATAAAAGCTGGAGAAGTTCCTGCCCTCTCCTCACTTCCGAAAACTAATCAAGCTGCAGGAAGCCAGGCTAGAGTTAGATCCCAAGCCCAGAGCCCACCAGTTGCTTAACTTCAGAACACGCCCCTGTTAAAAGGCAGCCAACTCCCATGGAGCAGGCCAAGTTCCTAGTGTTTAGCAGAGAGTCACAAATTTGGAGCCAGGAGGCCCAGTTCTAGTAGTACGGTCTGGACTCAGGGGCCTCCTCAGGTGGCAACAGGAATGAAGATCTGCCTTAAAGATCTGGGTCAGTGTCAAGGGGTCAGAGCAAGGCACCCTAATATGTGAGGTGAGGGTTAGCCAGCAGACTACCACACCCAGAGAGGGCACCCAGGGTGTCAAGACAGAGCAGTGATTGGGCCTAGGTGCAAGTAAGGCCAGAGCAAAGGACAACCACAATACAACATGTGAACAAAGGGGAAAAGAGGGCATTGATCCTGTCCCAGGTGTTCTTCTCATGCTCCTTTATCTTTCGTATATTCCTCCAGAAAAGCTGTTAGGAGGATTATTCCCATTGCAGGAGGTGGGGAGCAATGCTAAATCTGAGAGCAAGTCACTGACTCAAGTCACACTGCTACTACCCCACGATGGCCTCTGAAGCACAGGTAGGCCTCCTCACTGTAGATCAGAGCACTGTGTAGGCATCAGCACCACTGTTTCTGGATGATAGAGAACCAGCCTACACTCAGGCTACAGTGACCCTGAGAGAGGGCAGTCTTCAGCCAACTACTCCCCAAGCTCTGGTTCCATCTTCACTGAGCACCACATGCTAAAAGCTTGGTTGTCCAAAGGAATGAGGAGGCAGGGACTAGTGCAGTGGGCCTATCCAAGTACTCCCTTGCTTGGTCACCTGGGCCCCTTGGTCTAGTCTAAGCTCCAGCACCAGTCTTAGATTCTCAAAAAGCTTAGATGTACACACTGCTGTCTCTCCTGTAATAGTACTCAGTACTCTTGTGGGATTCCCCCTGCCCCTCTTCCACCAACATCAGATTTCTCTCTCTTACCCTGCTCTCTCCACAAAGCAGTTCTGAGACAGGTGGAGTAGCTTGTTATGGTCAGAAGAGTCTAAAAGCATATGAGGGGTTATCACTTTAAGAAGAGGCATCCCAAGCACATGGTCATGAGTTCCCGGCAGACCTTCCCCATTACAGGCTGTCAAGATACAGGCCCCAAGGAGAACCTTTCCAAATAGTTCAGATTCATTACTGTGGTGTCATACTACAGAGCATACTCAAGCTCAGGAACCAGGGCTCTAAAGATGCCAACCAGACAACAGGTACCCAGGATCCCCACCAGCTCAGGCTTAATAAGGTATCAATGTCATCTTCCAGGACACCCAGAGGCCAGACACCAAGTTTGTTTGCCCCCATCTTTGTCACTCAACTCCAAAACTCTGGGTTTCCCTTCCTCCCACTCCATATGCCTTTGGTCACCTGTATCTCCACTGAGCATAGCCTTCCTCATACTCTACCATCAAGATCAGAGGTAGGCATGGTGAGGAGAAGTCCACCCAGCATTCACTAGTTTAACCAAAATGGCCCCAATTTATAGGTAAGAACACAGGGATGGCCAGGTGCAATGACTCACACCTGTAATCCCAGCGCTTTGGGAGGCTGAGTGGGAGGATTGCTTAAGGCCAGGAGTTCAAGACCAGACTGAGAAACATAGTGAGACTCCGTCTCTACAAAATAAATAAATAAATAAACCAATGAACACAGGGCTCAGATAATATTCCATTTGGAGCAGAATCAGCAAAGCCAAGTCAGAAGCCCAAGCTTGTCATGTCCCCTGGTAATCCCATTTCCTCCATACTCCTTGGGCAGGCTGCTGAATGGATAGGATATATGCACATGGATACACACACTTATTGAACCAGGGAACAAATGTGAGCCAAACCTAGCCAAAGGGGCCACGAATCATGGAGAAAGCAGCAACATCAAGCCCTGGTCAGGGTCAGGGAAACCCAGAGCTGGCTACTCCCCTCCACCTTGCTGAGGGATGAAGCCGAGTACGCCCCCGTTTCCATCCACTGTTCAATCACACCGAGCCTCACATTTGGGCTGCTCTGCTTTCAGGGAGGGTCTCCTAATGACCCCTGGAACTCCTTGGCTAAATAAGCCATTGAGTTCAGCTTCCTATACAGCATCTCACAAACAAATCCCTTAACTCCATGATTCACATGCCTCCATGGCTCCCCAGTGCACTCTAGATTTCCACCCACAGCATGAAGTCTTTTCTGTAGATTATATCAAGCCCTCTACCCTCATCTCTATTTTGTGTTCTAGAATAGTGGACTATCTCAGAATTCCTGGACTCCATGTCTCTATAAAGAGCATCTCTTCTGACTATACTATCTCTAATCTCTGAGCCTCCTTTGATGCTTGGTTGAGACTCAAGCACCCTTAACTACCTTCAGGCAGTACTTCTCTAAAAAGTCTTAATTGACCAGTCCCTGGTGAGATGCTAAAGGTCTGCCTTTCCCCAAAAGACACACGGAGTGACTGCATTTCTGGAACTAGCACAGAGTCCAGCATACACCAGCCTTGGCTACCATTTGGCAAACGAATCTCTAGGTGCTAGCTGCTTTTTCTAATTTGAGTTGCTTTTCCCAGCTTTAGATCATTCTGCACTGAATTCCACATGACTACACTGTCTCGAGCCACTTTATCTGGTTAACTGCAGAGTGTCAACCCCAGGAATGCAAGTGCATTTTGAGTTTTTGTTCTGTTTTGTTTTGAGTTGGGGTCTCACTCTGTCATCCAGGCTGGAGTG